GCCAGAATAAGTGCTCAAGCAATATTTGTTAAATTAATGGTTGATAAGTGTCTAAAGCAAGTGTCATACCTGTAGGATTGGAAAGGAAATGCCATATGTGGAAGAAAATGGAAGAATGAGTCAAAAGCACTGGCACTGTTGTCATAGAATTTGGGGAAGGAGAAGCAGTAAAGAATGGATGATGACATCAGCTCTGAGTCCAGATTATGGGGAGAATGATGGTGGCTATCATTAAGAAAGTGATGCTATGCTAGAAAAGTGATGTGAGATTGAGGGGTCAGTAAATGGAGTGGGATATTGAGCTCTCTGAGTTTGATATGACATGGTATGCCCAACTGATGAAAATGTTCACCAGGTGTGATCAAGGAACATGAGATGAGGGCTGAGGTCACAGATAGATATGTGGGAGACCTCATATAAAAGAGGTCAGGGGTCAAAAGATATAAAAATAAAAGAGAAGATCAACAAAAGATAAGCCTTTTGCTCATCGACAAAGTGTTATGTATGTGGGGTGTGTATGTGTATGTGTGTATTGAGGAGGAAGATGAATAACGCAGGAAAAATAGAAGTCAATAATTTAAAAAATATGAATCAGCAAAAGGAATTAGATTATTTTAGATTATCTGAAGTGATTCAGAAAGAAAAGCATAATCAAGGGCAAGACAGCAATCGCTAATAAGCATTGTAACTTCCATAATAGGAAAATTTAGAATTTTTTAATTAAAATACTATTGGTGACTTTTACAAGTGAGATTCCTTTTGCTTAGAGAGTTGTCAGTTATCTATACATAGGTGTTAACTGAAACTATGATAAAGGATCCAATTCCACTACGGATATAATAGTAGAAGATTACAGACTTCAGTAGATAGAAAACAATATGGTAAAACAACCAAGAAAAGACTATTATATTGATAATTAATTACCCTTTCAAGCGGGGATTTCAAAGTAGCAAAAGTAAATTAAAGTGCTAGAAATAAGTATGCAAGCATGAAAAGAAAGGTTTGTTGAATTTTTACAATAGATCATCATTAATGATATAGGTACAGTTTCAGTGGCATGTTGGAAAAGTAGTATCAGAAAATATGAATTAAAAATAATTTGTCAGTTGAAACAGAAACAAGAAGTCCTGACAGAGTATAATTAACTCTATGTGAATAAAGAGACTTTATTATTAAATATATATCTCAATGACACTGTTCATCACCTAAGAAAAATATTCGAGAATCATTATCCCTTTGTGGTTGCTGTTGGAATACTGACTGCATGTAATAAAACTTTCAGAAAGACCAGAGGTTTGTTCTTTTGGGGGATAATTATATATATATATAGTAACTGAATATATATCTTATTACATTACAAATATGTGACTACATATATCTATATATATCATCTATACAGGTCATTTATCTTTCTGTTAATTTTCATTTAAATTTTATTTCTTTTCGTGTGGTTCAGATTTTGTCTGATTTTTGTTGTCATTTAAAATTTCCCTACAAAGCTAAAACTGTAATCTAGATAAAATTGTTTCTAGAAAAATACACCCTCTTTCTTGTTTGTAATGTTCACAAATAACTATTGATTATATATAAAAGGACATTTTTATTAAGTGCATTTAATCTCTGATTATATTTCATCGATTTAACATCTATCGAGTTTATATCAGTGCCAAGTGAATAGTGAATTCTGGGGAAATAAATTTGTATAAAACAAAGCCCTGAGTAGTTATAGTACTTTTAATTGAAAAGGTATTAAGTTAACAAGTGTCTGCTCTGTGCAATGTGTGCAGAATATAATGCCGAGAGCAAGACAGGCATAATCTCTGCTCGCTAGGCACTTACTGGCAAAGGGAAGAGTCTGGAAAAAAATTGTATTACCCAAATAAGTGTAAAAATGAGACTGCTACAAAGAAAAGCATGTCTCATAAAGAAACAATTACTCCTGCTTCAGAAAGTTGAGGAACAGCTTATCTGTGGAAGTGAAGAGTGCTGGCATCCAAGAATGAGATGGAGTTGATTAAGCATAGGGATGAACAGCCAGCCATGTGCAAAGGTTATGTAGAAGGAGGAAGCTGGATGTGTACAAGGCACTAAGAGAGTAAATTCAGACCAGCGATGCACGGAGACTGCAGATCATACAGAGTTGACAGTAAGTTTATGTTGGCTCCCCAAAATTCACTGGTGTGCTTATTTGTAAAAACAATAGCCAGTCATTCATGTGTCTTAGCAGGGAAATGGTATCAGACTGTTCATATTAAAAGTGAAAAAACGGTAACTATAGGAGGGTATGCAAATGTTAATAAACTTGATTTGGTGATTATTTCACAGTGTATATCAAAACATACATACAATTGTGCACCTTAAATATCTAAGTTTTTACTTGTTATTTATATCTCAATAAAGCTGAAAAATTTCCGGGTTAAATTATGAATCATTATGCTTGCTTACATTCTTAACTATATGAAGCACAATCATGGGTTTTTTCAGTTAAATGTAGCAGTTAGAGCACTATGATTAAAAATAAATAAAAATAATCCTTGAGATTGAACATATTGAAAAGTTAATAAAAGGGCCTAGATTCCTAAAAGAACTAGAATTTGACCTTCCTTATGACCCAGCAGTCCTCTTTCTGGGAATATACCTGGAGGAACTTAAGTCACTCTACAAAAAAGATACCTGCACATGCATTGTTTATTGCAGCAATACTTACAATAGCAAAAACATGGAACAACTGTGCTGTCCATTGAAACTGAACTGGATAAAAAATGTGGTACATATACAGGATGTACTATTATGCAGCCATAAAGGACAAAATTATGAATTCACAGCAACTTGGATGGATTTAGAGTCTATCGTAGTCAGTGATTTATCACAGAAGCAAAGAACTGAGTACCAAATGTTCTCACTCATAAGTTGACCGTGAACATTTACCATGATACTATAAGAAAAGGATTGGCAGTAGCCGGAAACTGCCAGGGGTGGGGGGCACATAACATCAGTAAGTGTACCTGATCTCAAGCCAGGCAAAGTGGAGGCCAAAGGGAAGCTCAGACTTTACCTGTACTATGACCACTTATATGCCTAATTCTGAATTGCACACCACATCTTTAAAATGAAAAAAACTAAAAAATAAAATAAAAAGGCCTAGCTGAGAAGAAGATATTGAATATATGAATAAGAAGTTATAATTAAGTCTAAATTCTTGTTATTACAGAAGAAAGAGTGGGATTAAAGGAATAAATTTGAAGTTCAGTTTAGGATATGTTGATTTTTAGGTGTCTGTGAAGCACCAAAATAGACACGTTGAGGTAAATGTTTGGTGTGTGCTTCTGAAACTTAAGAGAGAATTCTGACACAGGGATACAGATAAGGGGGCAGGTGGGCAGGAAGACAGGGCTTGTAGTAAATACTAATTGGCAAGGATAATATCTCCTGAGGAAAATTTATAAAGTGAGGTGAAACAAATAGAATTCTAGGAAACACCACTAGTTAAGTGTTAAGAGAAGAAAGAAAAGTTAAGTAATCTGAGTACTAAATGTCACAGAGGTAGCAGGGTTAAGATGTATCATCTTATTCATAAATTATCTGAGTCAAGTCATTTTAGCATAATATTTTCTTTCAACTATTTTTTTCTAATGAAGCACACTTTTCTAGGCACTTTATATAGTTAATATAGAAAAGGGTGAGTTTTCAATATAAATTCCAGGAACACACACAGTCTTTTGTATATATTTATGTGGGATACGTTTATGTAACACTTTTAAAAATAAAAATTAAAAGATACAAGGCTATTTTTTATACCAATGAGGAAGATGATGAAGGTGATTTCAGACCTAATTTTGATAGTGATTGGAAAGAATTATGGACATGATGCTTATGTGCATTGGAATAGAGATTCATTGACACATTTGGAAAACTTTGTGCCTATGTCTAGGCAAGCTTTCTTGCAAATGAATGGCAATGATTTTATGTATTGTCATTAGATATTCTAGTACTTCTCATTAGCATATAAAAATATTTCAAATTTTTACGTCTTGACTGAGGCTACACAGGTAAAGTGGCAGAAAGTCATTGTCCTATACAGGTGTTATCCAGAAAAAATTAATGTTTTGAAAATTGCTATCCCTAATACTATAAAGTCAATGGGACACTGTTTTGCTATCACAAAAAGAAAGTTACTTATGAGAGGAATTATTTTTTAAAATGTATTAATGACTTTAGAAGGTAAGAAATCTCAAGGGAGCTAATCTGAATTGGGCAGAAGAGGTTTTTATTTTTGTTGTTTGTTTTTAGCCCTTTGAACAATTTCAATCTAATGTTTTTACATAGTCTTTTCTAGCTCACTAAGATTTTGTAAAATATTTCTGGCCATTTGTCTGACGTGGATCTATCTACAATTTTACAAATTTATCTGGAGACCTATCCCTTGATCTCCTTGGCATACAATAAAAAGAACAAAATAACATAAACACTCGTGAATACTTCATTCAATTTTAGATCTGCCACGTGTTATCTACATATACAAAGTATTTATGTTTACAAATTTAATTATCTATTATTAGATTTACTTCATTAATTTTGTTCCCAAAACAGTGTTTCATTTATTGGATCTTTCATAGACTTTTGTATAAATTTTCATGTTGATGTCTGCATAGATTGCAGTGTTTGTTGAACAAACTCCATTATTAAGTACACTGCTCTGATCTTTGCATAATGATTTGCATAACTACCACCAGAAATAGATTTTTCCCGCTAGGAAGCTAGTTTGCAAATAAAATGTTATGAATTTTTATTGTATTATGTTAGTTTTTATTTCCAGGCATACTTAATATTACAATATTATTTTAAAATGTGGCTTTTTTGTCATTAGGATATTTTCTTTAAAAATAAGACTGCCTGCCATATTCTGACAATAATATGATTTAATACAACATAATGCCATGTTTTATTCATTTATTCTGGTTACTACTGGTTTTTACTAATGACCTTTTCTACATTTTCAGGGTGAAACAAAGATCTTAAAACTAAAGAATCTTCGACCTCAGGACTATGCTAACTATAGCTGCATTGCTTCAGTGAGAAATGTATGTAATATCCCTGATAAGATGGTATCGTTTAGACTGTCTAATAAAACAGGTACGGAATTATCTATGCATGTTATATGTCTGTAATCTACAACAAATGTTGTAAAAGGCTCTTTAACTTTTCTATAGACTAAATGATTTTGATATTATATGTTGGAACAAACACCACCTTTTTTTTTCCAGAAAATTCTAGGATATCTGAAAAGTGTGGTAAATGGACACAGTAAAATTTAATTGCAATATACTTCATAAAATATGTTTGTATATATGCCATACAAAATTATAGCTCCTTAAAATACTGCATTCATAAGTGTCACAAACAAGCCTATTTCCAATGCCAAAAGCTACTTAAGCAATACTAAATTCTTCATACAAAAAATCATGCTATATGTTGCTAATTGAGTTTTGGGACTTCAAAGCTCAGTTGAAAAACAAAAACAAAAACAAACAAAAAAAACCCTTTCTTTTACTTTGTTTCAAGACAAGAAAGCTAATTGGTATTCCAGGTTTGTGTTTTTAGGACAATATTTTTGTAGAAAATGTCAAAACATTAGCAAAATTGCAACATAAGTTAGCCTGTGTTCAGTAATATAGACTTCAGAACAACTGTAAGCAGATTAAGAAGAAATTGTTAAGTGAAGGAGCAAAAACAGAGAGCATGTGAGTAAACCATCTTTTGTATGATTGTGTTTAAAGTCACTTTAGTAAATTAATATTTGAACTGGTTTTGAGAAAATCCAACATTTCACGCAACAAATGTAAACTTTTACTTTTAAATAATTATGTTCAACTACAGAATTTTAAAGTTTCCTTTCCAACTAACAAAATCTCGAAAAGTGTGGACTTTGTTTTGTCTGGGTCTAGGTTCTGCTCCTAGAGTACTAGTTCTTAGAAGTTGAACAAGTCACTTCACGCTTCTTTTCTTCATTTCCTCAAAAACTCATAAAGTTGTAAGAAAGATTTAATAAGTTGTTGTGTGTATAAAGGCTGTGGAACACTTTATTAGTTCTTGCAACAAGGACTTGGTCAGATATTTCAACTGACTTACTTGGTAAAAACATTAAATCTGGGACTTTATGAGAAGATATTTTTTAAGTGTGTTCATACATTGATTCATCAACATATATTTCATTTAGTTGGTAAAATTTTCACATGCTCCTTCTTTTATTCATTTATCTATCTATTCATCAAACACTTATCGGGCTCCTATTATGGGTCAGCAGTTGGCTAAGATGTAAATCACCTTAAACTAGAAAGTGCTCTATTAGGTGTCAATTAAGTCGTTAGAGAGAAGTACAAGAAAAATGTGAGAGAGGAAAGTAAACTTCATCAATAAGAATAAGAAAGGCTAGATAGAAAGTATGTTGCAGAAAAAAATAGAAATATACAAGTTTAGTGGATTTAAGACTTATAAAAGTTAATAATCTCATCTTACTGGAAAAAATAGGAATTCGGATATTAAAAACAAACTAATTTGGTTGCTCTTGGCATGAAATATGTTGTGATTTAGTATAGCTAATTTTGTTTTTCATAGTTTAATATATTTTTGAAATGCATATGATTCTGAGAGAAAAATTAAAAATAAAGTGAAAACAGGTCCTATGGGATAGGTAAAAGTGTAGCAGTGGAAAAGGGAAGAATGAAACAGTGAATACATAATTATTTATGTTACAACCTTGCACTTGAACAGTACTTTATAAATTTTTGAAATCTTTAGTATTTGTTATCTCAATTTATCTTTATAACGATAGGGGCATAAACAGGTAGATTTTATCATTTTTTTCATATCCTCTGACACTTAACAAACTGTTCTATAATAATCAATGTGTCCTCATTGACTTGATTTGAATTAAAACAAGATATACAAAAGTTCTTTAAAGACTAAGAGCTGTTATCAAATAATATATAATATTTTATGTTTCAGGCATGTATGGTTTTGTTATTTTCCAAGATCTCACATCTCATAAGGGATGGGGACAAGATGAATCCAAATGTTTGAAGAGTTACCGTAAATAGGAGACTGCCCAACTCTTCTCAGATTTTATAAAGCTTGAGAAAATGAACTTAAATATCAGAGTGTTTCATAAAGAATAAACCAGGGCTTCTTATCTTGAAGCTGAAAGGAAAGATTACCATGAAAGGAGACAGAATTCCTGCAGTCTTTTAAAGCAGCTGAGTGACTTTATTTCTGAGATGGTTTTTAACAACTGTCAGCTCAGAAAACAGTCTTGAGTACCTGTCCTATGGGGGGTACAGGAGTACCACAAATAGAGATATTTTGTTTAACCTTTTAGCTTTATGTTTCATTCTTTATTTTTCAGGTTCATGTGCATCTAGACTGAGTAACCATAAAAATCCATTATTCTCTTTTATAAATTATCTCACAAAAATTTTAGATTGATGTTCACTACAAATGAGTATTAGGGCTATGGTAAATAATTTTAAAAGTATAAGCTTGTACCTGTTTGACTCTTCAATAGCTGTAATCAGGTATGTCCTATGCCTGTTACTTTACATGTTCAACCAGGTTCACTTCAGAACTTTCCCCATATGGTCGTACACATACTTGAAAGGATTTGTTCATTTAAAATAGGTGAAATCATTGAGATAGCTTTCAAAGTACACAGAGAATAAATTAAGTTTAGAGCATCCTCATGAAACAGGTCTACACACTGACAAATAAGTGCATGTATGATGGTCCATTGCTCTTCTAACATTGGAAAAAGAACCTGAGTCACCATTGCTACAGTTAAAAGTGAAAGTTGGGTGCTTTGTCTGATTGTCACTGCTTTGAATCTCTAAGTGATGTAGGTAAAATTGCTATATATTAACTCTTGGTTTGCAAAATGTTAAAGAAAATACGAACATTATTGTGGGGATAAAATTATAAATATGGCCATAGATTTGCTTAATCTACTCTGTAAACCGATATGTTTATAAAAGTATTAACTTTGGAAATTATTTTTGTAATGGAGGTCAAATTGTCTAATCAGTGTACTTTTGGTATAGCAAAATTTAATTGCAAAATCTCCACGATCACATCAACTTTTTAATTACAATCTGTCTATGGATTTGATCCGCACAGTGTCCAAATGACATAGCATGTTAAGATGGAAACAATGTCTGCTATGTCTTAAAAGTTTTGCAACAGAGCAGTTGCATAATAGAGTACAATTTTTCTAGGTCCATTCATACCTGTTGAATTAGACTTTCTGGGAGATGGCCTGGAAATGTATACATTTTAAATAAGTTTAAATAATTGTTTTGGAAGATAATTAAAAGTAGTATTATTTGTTATCAGACTGTTTTTCATGAACCTGTTCATTTTATGAATAGAAACTTCTGTTAACAGAAATCAATTTTCCAGAACTGCTTAGAAAATCAGTACTAGGTATCATTTTAAAAATCAGTGTCATCTGTAGATTTACCAGTAACGTGTTTTCTTACTTTCCTACTGTAATGGACATAACAAATAGTGCTCATAATTGTATATCAGACATAGAAAGTGCCCATTCATTTTGCTGGCCCCTATTTTTTGCTTGGTATGCTATGAAAATGTCTCCTTCCACATAAGTGTCATTATGTATTGTACTTAAAGTAGCTGCTTAGACTTTATCATGGCAGTCCATGGAATTTTGTAAAAAATAATGTGCCATGCTTATTTATTTCTTGTCATGCACACTGACCAATTGACGTAATGCTATATCAGGGTCCAGAGGTTGCTGTGATTGTTTTCCTACTCCCATTTGGAAGAAAAGTGTTAGCTCTTGATTGGTAAATTATTTATTTTCATTTTTTTATTTTTAAGGATGTGGGGGTACTATTCAGGATTAAATATACAAATTGTCATTGTACAGGTAAAGTTTGGGTCTCACTTTGGTCCCTGCTTTGGTTAGAGATCAGGTACCTTTATTGATGAAGTGTGCCCCCACAGCCTGGTAAATTCTTAATGTAGCTGTATTTCTCATGGTTTATTAAAATAAGCCTGTTAAGATTTACAAGTTTAGGATGTTAATAAATTTGAAATTATTGTAATTATGGTAACTGAATATAAATTATTTTTTAATTTCTCAGATTATATGTATTACCAACATAAGAGCACATAGAAATTATGATAAAACAAATTTCATTTATTTTAATGTATTGCAAGCACTTATGGGTTGATATCTCTCAATTTCAAAGGCAAATACAAAATTAAATAGGTTACCTATATTAGTATGAAAAACATACTTTATATCTGCCTAAAAGGTGATGATGAATTCTATAAAAAAAAAAGGACAGGTAGGACTCATTTTATTTAATTATATAGATCCCTTGATTTAGTCTGCTCAACCATAGCATTTATAAAAACTGTCTAATTAAAACGTCTTCCTGAAATATGTATTAAATCCGGAATTCAAGTCATTGCAAAAGTATTTCTGACTATAGATACAGGAGAAGCCTATACCTCATCCATCTCTTTTCCCCTCTCTCCTTTATTTCTCTATTTTTTTTTCTTTCATTTTTTTCCTTTTTCCAGGATGTCTCGATAAATTATCATGGAAAAAGATAGAGATTAAGAAGCATCTTTGGTTTCTCTGTTAGGCAACTATTATTTGTTCTTGTTATTTTATAAAACTCACAGGGAAGTTTTAAATATAAATGCTTAGCATTGCGGTGAGTTTCACCAGAAAACATTTTTTTTTTTTAATAATTAATCAGTATTTTTATTATAGTTTTGTGGGGTACAGTTAAGGGTTAGGTGTACAATTACGTTTCATTCAGACACCCTGTTGATAAGAGGTGTTTTCCCAGCCCCAGACAGATATTTGCTACTGTTAATCCTATCTCCCTCCCCCCCATAGTTTCCTAGTACCGTCAGTCATTTTCTTATAGTATTACATTGGATGTTCAAGGTCCATTATATGAGTGAGAACATGTCAGAAAACATTTTGTATACTGTGATCGATTCATGATAGTTGTCTTTTCTGTTTAGAGGAATGTAACTGACACCTAAGTGTTATGAGAAATAAATTATTATTTCAGTTGTAGAATTGCTGATAGTTATAGGTA